ATACTAAACTGTGTCAGACTTCTAATTATTACAGCACCAAATCCCTGAGCGAACACTTTAATTATGCAAGCTTTTGTCCCATCGTGATGATAGCAACAAATATGACAACATTGGCAACGTGAGGAAAGAACGCAAATTATTTTTCTGTCGTAAAATAAAATTAACTCCACGACGCCAATCCAAATTCGTTAGCCATTTTCTACACACAAAAATTTCAACTAATTCATTAGGTGTATTTTTTTTTTAACTAAAAAAATAATCTAATTTCTGCACTACATTTTTTTTAAATTGCAAGGGAAAAAAATAGACGCGAAACTTGAAATAAAATTTAAATTGAAATCACGTTTGACAGAAAATTAAAAATATGGCTGCCGATTTCACATATGGCCAAAGGATAAAAAATGCATTAAAGATACAGGAAGATTCATGGCATGCGATAACATTTGACCAAAGAATGAATTGTAATTAATAACCTTTTTTTTTCTTAAATCGTTCAATTTCTTTTAATTTATTGCTATTCGTCATTTTATTTATGGCTAGGACGGAAACTCTGATATCGTAAGATAGAGAAATGATTTTTATTCATATTCCAGAATAAAGCAATGTCTGAAAACAGTTAAGAGAACACTAACGCTTCGCGTATAATTGCTCTGTTTCGTTTAATATAATAAAACGTGTAAATAAATTGTGTTGTTCCAGTGTGAAAAGTCGGGGAGGTTATGTTGAAACTGGAACTCCAGTGTTGAAAATTACAGCATCTCCTAGAAAAGACAGAGTAAATAGACATAAGACTAACCACCGATTTTAAGTAGATAAAATATAAGATTGTTAGCACTAGGTCCAACCCAACTAAATTTATTGATTTGTTTTTTTTTTGGGGGGGGGTTGTGTTTTTAAAGCTTATAAATCTTTTTGCAGGTTATTTAAAGCCAGAACATATTATTATATTGTAAGAACTGTTTGGGCTTAATAAAGATTTTTGCTGATACAAGTTCTACTAATTTACCCGTAGATGGTGGGTAAAGCAGGGTTCATGCTTCTCCCATGGTTACTCGAGTGTAAGCGAATATAACGAACCCGGCTCGATTTGGAAATCGTCTCTCCGATTTCCAATACACAGGCGTGTTCTATTACTCCACCCGCACATCCAATCTGACATCGCCTGGGATTGCCAAGGGTTCACCGATCTAGGTACTGACCAGGCTCAACGATTCTTAACTTCGGAGATCAGAAATAAACCGGGGACAGTTCAAAAGTCGAGTTACAAATTGGGCATGTCAAAATCAAAAAGTTCAGAAATTAAACTATTTGGGGAGTGCGCTAATAAATGATAGAAAACGCGAGACAAGAATCAGTAGGCAGATTGCAATAACGAAAGATGCCTTACAAAATCTAAGCAAACTATTAAGAAGCACTCAGTTTAACGAAATGTGAATTCCACAATCTGTTTCATGTTTTGAATTAAACATCCGAATCTGATAATGTTAATGTTAATATTAGACTATATCTCTGTCTATATTTCTGAGTTGAGGTATGATGATTACTTATATTATTTACATTATTCGGAGTGTTATCCTCATCTTTATTGCCATATTCACAATGTTTCGACCGTTGTACGCCCCAGCCTTCTCCAGGTGATTGAAATTTCGAACCGCAGCCTTTATTTCGTCCATCGGGTTAGACTGTTCTAGTTCCACTTGCCATGCCTCAGTTATTTCCCTTTAACTCAACTCCCCGTGTTTTGGTTCACCACTCCTGTGGTTGGTATTGAACTCACAACTTTAGTCACTGGATCTCACCAACGTCTTTTATCCACTGGGTCATCGAAATTCCAATCACCTGAAGAAGGCCGGAGCGTACAACGGCCGAAACGTTGTGAATATGACAATAAAGATGGGGATAATAGTCCGAATAATATAAATAATACAATTAATAATAGACGTTTCCCTATAAGGAAACATTCGTCATTTACTGTTTCTGTATCAGGTGCTACTGTCTGTCGAAATTTAGATTTTTTTTTCCTAGTAAAATTATTTTTCTCAGAAAAATAGGTCTCCCACATAACCGTTGTCATTCTTTCCAATGATGATGGGAGTTTTATTCCTAACTTTTTGTTTGAAATAGTGTGGAATGTCAACATCTTTATAATGTCAATATTTTTCTCTTTAATTTACATGTGCTATCCATATTAGAGACACGGTGGAGTAATGGATAGTGGCTCGGGCTGAAGAATCGGAGAGCCGAGTTCGAATTCCACTCGAATCCTTTACATACTCTTACGGGTTAATACCTTTGGAAAAGGTGTGAATCTTCTTATTGTTTCCCCAATGGGTAAATAGCAGAACATACTGGGTTATATAGCCTGGGGGGGGGGCAACTGTTCTACTGCAGAAAGAAATGGCAACCTACTGCGGGGAAAAATCTGCCTCGTCAGTCATGTATCAAAAATACATGATCGCCTAAGCATGTTTCACGTAACTGGCTGATCTTAGTTGTTGCTGCCTTTTAACATGATGTGTTATTTATGATTCTGTAGCGCCAGTCTGCGCGCTTTAAATAGGTGTGGTCATAACTGAGACTCTTCTTTTTTATGATCTCATTCATTCTAATCAGGCAGCTCGCTCCACAGAAAAAAAAAAAAATCACCCCGACCCAGCATAATACTTCCACGGATATTATTGATTGTTTGGAGAGTGTTCGATAGATTGAATATTTCAAAAACGTTTCGAGAAGTCATAGCAAAATCGCATTTACCAAAGTCGTTCAGTTTTTGTTTGATGTCATCAATTAATTGATGATCAAATACTTGGATAATACTTTGATGACACATAGCAAAACCACAGAATCTTCCTTGGTCGTCTTCCATGGAGTTCGATGAAATGTGGGTAAATACAAGATGCATGACTTGGTAGTAACCTTCGACATTCTTTTTGACATTTCTAAGGAAAATTCATACTGAATTTAGGTTCCCCCTTTTTACTTTAAGAAATATTCTCGAATTTCTTCATCATATTTAATTGACGTGAAAAAATGTTCTAATCTTGATTAATTTCGATACACCATTAATGTCCTTCGTGGCTGTGTGGTAACGGATATAGAATTTGGTGAACATGTATAGCTTTCATCTTGTGTTCAATCCTTGGATCAGGTAGTAAAACGTATTATAATTCTTCAGCGGAGATGAATGAGAACTGGTATCACATTGACGAAATAACGCAGTAATCAGCAGATATAGTTTATTAACCAAACATTAGAAACCTGACAATATCCACGGCATACATGGCCGAAAGGTAGTTTTTTTTATGATAAAATCAATAGTAATCAAACTGAGAACAACAGGTCAAACAAATTGACAAAAATAAAATACAAAATCTCGATAAAAAATGCAAAATTCTTGATAATATTTTGAAAAACGTGGCCGGATTCCAAAATGATTCACCAGATGTAAACTTATATATATATATATATATATATATATATATATATATATATACTCTCGACTCTACCGTCGAATTCGACGTATGAGAGTCAAGTAGATCAGTTCTAGTTCCCGATACCAGAACATGAGATTTGATTACAGCGGTGAGGGTTTTTGTGCAGGACCATCCACACTTTTTGAAGGGCCGGATATAGAGACCTGGTGCGTTACGGGCCACAAGGTCCCCAAACGACCCTCCGCAAGTTTTGAATTCAGAGTTGTCCTTATCCTAGACCAGTTGCCATCTAAGGCTATAGAACCCATAGCTGGAGGGAGAAAAATAGGATTCACACCTTTCCCAAGGGTGTTAGCACGTAAGTGAATGCAATGGATTCGACCCAAATTCGAACTCGGCTCTCCGATTCCTCAATTCAACCCGCTATCCATTTCCCACCATGGCTCCCCTCCCCTCTCTCTCTCTGTATATATATATATATATATATATATATATATATATATATATATATATATATATATATATATATATATATATATATATATATATATATTAGAGGCACGGAGGAGTAATGGATACTGCACACACACACACACACACACACACACACACACACACACACACACATATATATATATATATATATATATATATATATATATATATATATATACGAAGTGTGATAACAAAATTATTGTAATTATCGTGTAATAGAAAAGTTGTCCAACTGTTAGAGTAGTCTTTGAAACGTTTTATCTTAGAAAGAGGTTTTAGTGGAAATCCCCGAGGTTTTTATAACACTATTGGTATCTACTTTGTACAATAATATATATATATATATATATATATATATATATATATATATATAATCATAATAGTATGGATGCAAATGTTTTAGTGGACTTAGAAGTTTTCAATCTTCTTGACTGAATTGAGAGCAAGATATACAAGGTCAGCCAATCTCACAGTGATCTCATCCTACAATCCTCACTCTTGCTTTATATGTGGCCTGCTTTGTAAATTACTAGCAGATCTTAAGTGCCACTTAAGATTATCGCACAAAATTTCATAACTGAATCAATTGGTTAAATTGTCAGAGCCTTATACGTCGAAATGACGGGAGAGTCCATTATATATATATATATATATATATATATATATATATATATATATTCAGTTGTAAGAATATGAGTTTGTCTCTGGATTTTACGCTTTTGAGACCATCAGACAGGATGTGTTCACTTTTATATTTACATATGCTCTATCTCTGATATTTAGCACTATGTTTTGTCATATATATATATATATATATATATATATATATATATATGATATTTTCTTTATTGTTATTTTTAAAACCCACCAGCTCCAACTCAACAAATTTAAATTACATGGAGCATAAATTACAAATTTTGCAGATCTTACTAAATTTCCTGTACTAGAAGCGAGCAAATATAATTATTTTATGGACAGACATAAAATGTCACTGTATAATGAAACCCCATCATTCCGCAAACGCCATGCGACGTCACAGAGCATCCGTTATCCGGGGCAAAATGTGGCTCCTCAGATTATACCGTGAGGACAATGATAAAAGAAAGAAAGAATGGAGACAGGAAGGAAAGAAAGAAGGAAAGAAAAATAAGAAAAACAATGAGAGATATTTAAAAAAAATAGAGGTAGACGAGGAATAAAATTAAAGATAGCGGGAGTAAAAGAAGAGAGAAAAAAATCTATGAATCGAGAATGAGAAAAACGAATGAAAAGAGGAAAGTAACGAAAAAAAGATATAGAAAGAAAAAGGTGAAATTTAAAGTTGAAAACATTAAAAAAAATGAAATGTAAAAAGGATATTAAAAAAAATAAGGAACGAAAGAGAGAAAAAAGAACGAAAGAAGAAATGTCGAAAAAAATGGCAATAAAAAATAAAGCAAAAATGAAGAAATAAAACGTAAGCAAAGACAAAAGTGTGAGCTGCAAGTACGAAGAAAGGCGAGGAATGAAATGCAAAATTTTAAGAAAAAAATTAAAATAGGGTATAAAATTAATAATAACACTGGAAGCAAAAATGCAACAAAAAAATAAAATAAATGCAAAAAAACAAACATAGAAAGTGATAAAAAGAAAGAAAGAAAAATAGATGGAGGCAAAGAAATGTAAAATGAATGATAACAATGAACATTATATTAAGAAAAAAAATTAATGAAAAAATAAAACGAAAAGCCTTATGGAAATTGTAAAATACGAAAACAGTAATTTAAAAATGTATATATATATATATATATATATATATATATATATATATATATATATATATATATATATATATATTTATATATATATATATATTCATGATTTATTGTTAGTTTTTCTAGTAATTTTGGGGTTTTGTTTGCTTTTAAATAAGCGTATGATTAATTTTCGCCCGGCCATTTAATATGGAACTCTTTATTTCCTGGAGGCGAATTTACTCCTCAGTGCATCCTGGACGCCGGCTGTTGACATTTAACTTATTTTATTTTCTACTATCTCTCTATTCTTCTCTTTTTGTTGATTCGATGCAATTTTTGTCCGTCCATTTCTTTATTTGCTTTTCTCCAGCTCTTCTTCGTCAGCGGCCATATTTCATTTGCAATTTGAATGTTCCAATGCAAACATTGGTGTCCGCTCAACATTTCGAAATAAAGAAAACAGACTGCGAGGCCTAAGAACTAAGCAAGCCGTTCATACTCTGATCAGCAGAGAAAAACAATTACTATTATGACTGTTTTTTTAAACGTAGGCAAATACAAGTTTAACTCCTAAAACATATTGGATCTTCTCTGTTAATTTACCCCAAAACATTAACACACCCCAAAATAAAAAGAATTTATATTTACTAAAATTCACACCAAATTCTCCCAGAGCAAGGCTTATCCATTGCACTCCCGCTGGCTTGACCTTCGTGATCGCCACTAATGTGCGTGACTCATGTGCGCTATTTCTAGATGTGAGGCCTGCCTCTCGCTCACTCTGATGAACAAGACAAAAACTTATTTTTTTATATATAATTGTAAAAAAAATTAATTGTCAGTATACCGGATGTCACCCCCACTTACGAAACGTGAATTTTTAGTAATTTTTCATCCTAAGTGTTAGAGTTGTTGCGAGGCAAACAAAACAAACTTTGATTTAAAATTTATAATTTATTGCACCGAATTAAATATTTGCGATAAGTAACTTTACACTATTTGAGATGAATTAACAGAAAAGACACAACAATTTTTACTAAGACTGCTTACATCTTTACGGAATTTAATTATGACTTTCGATATCACCGATTATTATTGTTCTCTGGTTAGACCTAAACTCTTGACAAAAAAGTACTCAAAGCGTCTGTACGTGCCAAACATCGATATTCACCAAAGCCATCAATGTCTGGCAGGATAGAAGACGGCAAAGATTAATGTCTCCCAACTAATGTCTACAAGGATAAAATCAACAAAGGTAGTTCAAATAACGCCTACCGCTCATGTCATAAATTTGATGAAGCTGTTGACCACATTGTATCAGGACGCACAGTCTTTGATTAGAAAGAATGCATTATTAGATATGACAGGCCAGAAAAAAATATATACCATTTCGATGGTATCATAGAATTAAGAAACAAGATGATGAAAATGTCAGTTATATAACAAACCGTTCTATCTATCAAGACTTGCAATCTCTCAATGTAAGAATCTCTGGGACATGCCAATTCAGATTGACAGGGAAATAAAAGCCAAAAGACCTGATATTTTCATAAAATACTAGAAATTCAGGAAGTGTATGCTTATTGGCATAGAAGTACCATCTGACAGAAATATCTCCATGAAAATTATCGTGAAATTGTCCAAATACAAGGACCTGGAGTTTGAGGTTAACACAATGCGGGGAATGAAGACTGTACCAATGATAATGGGAGCTCTGGGCCTCGTGAGAAAAGGAATGGATAATTTTACTAATAGTGTCTCAGGTAACATCAACATACAAGTTCCACAGAAAATCGCCCTACGAGGAACACCCACTCTACTATGAAAAGTGCCATTAATTAAAAACAATTCTCTCATATGGCCCAAGGACCATAGTTTGGACCCGGCTCTACAGGATACAAAGCAGGAAACAAAACACACAAATAATAATAATAATAATAATAATAATAATAATAATAATAATTAATTTGGAAAACATACGAAGAATTTCTGGGAAGCAACCATAGATGCCTCTTAAGACTTTTTCTCTATTTTCATTCGGAGTCCTTTCGGTTGAGATAAATTGACGTTTATAGAAGTTGTAGCTGAAAAAGATTTATTCTGCAGAGATAACGTGACTTTCACGGCACAGCTTATCAATTTCAACCATTTAGAAGGTCGGCCTTTCCACAATTACCAAAGCTTTTTACAGTTATCAGGAAGCCTGAAGCCGGTAGACAATTGGAGCTAATCTTTGGAGTCGCTCCAGGAAAGAAAACCGGTGACCTCTGCTCGTAAACGGATACATCCCCACCAGGCCGGTTTGAGAAATTGACAGGTTTCGGTCAACACGGTTTGTCGAAAATATAAGCCGTTGTTATTTGTGTGAGGCGAAAATCAATTCCAATTGTGAGAACTGATTAACCATGTCGAATGCCAGGGTAACAAATATGTTTGCTTGGTGATTTTAATTTCTCCAACTTGTAGGAGATATAGCCAATAATTTCTTACTACCCTCTTATTTTTTCTTTCTTTCTTATCAGAGGGAACAGATGCAGAATTGTTTTAGACATATGACCATCTTTCGGTTTTTGTGTACATTAGAGATTGGATTTGACTGCGACTTGAGCGTTTATTTATTTCAAGTGGGTTTGTAGCCCGAACATATAAATTAAAATTAAATACTCTCTGTCTACCTCTCTGTCTGACGCTCTCTCTCTCTCTCTCTCTCTCTCTATATATATATATATATATATATATATATATATATATATACGTGTGTGTGTGTGTGTTTGTGCATATATATATATATATATATATATATATATATATATATATATATATATATATATATTATATACATATATATAGAAAGTATCACAATAGCTAGGATATATCTACGCACACAGAGGCACCCCTGCTGTGGTGTAATGGTTAATAAGCTTCTCTTGCAAAAAACAGTTACGACTGAATATTGAAATACATCGTCACTGGGTACCCCATATATTCTGCCTTATGCCACATCTAACCCAGGCTTAGAAAATCATATATATATATATATATATATATATATATATATATATATATATATATATATATATATATATGAATGTGTGTGTGCCTGCCTATATATACACACACACACACATATATATATATATATATATATATATATATATATATATATATATAATTTAATTTACACAAAAAAAAAAAACAGACCACTTTTAATGTTCCATTGTTATAATTTATTTCACCAGGATTTTATTTTTTTCTGGGTCTTCATACTTTACTTTCAAGGATAAAACATGAATTTAAAATTTACACTTCTGAAGGGCAGCATTAAGCTTATATAAGGTTACTTAATGTTACGCGGGTGAATGATTAAATGTCTTTCTTTATATTTTCTCTATTCTATGTTTTGCGGTGTTACATCTGCTCGTCAGTAGGTTTTAGAATCACATCTTTTAATATGCAGATATAGTTGATTATTTTGGGGCACTTTTGAGAATGAAATTATTTCAGGATTAAATTATAATTACTCAAATAATTTTACGCAATCAATCGAGTATTGAATAACTGATTTCTTCGTACAGGAAATACGATTAATCATTCACAATCTTTTCTTTTTTTTTTCGACAATTTATGCCGTGTCTTCAATTTCACTATAAAATACCGTGTCTGCAATTTCACTATAAAATGAATTGTTGATCATTTTGCAATAAAAAAGTATTGTTGATAATTTTACGATAAAAATATATTTTTATACTTCCCTCATTTTTAGATTTTTGTTTGTTATGGGTTGTGGGGGGGTGGCTATTTGCGCCTAGCTTGGACACTCACATGTGCTACCAGCCTAGGTTAAGGTGTTCCTAGGGGGCAAAACAATTAAGAAGTGGTTTTACGCTCTTCAAAACCTCCAATCTCACAACCTGAAGCTTTGCTGCCGAATGTAGTTTATCGTTCTACCCAGGACACTGGATGTAATTTCACAAGATTCAGATTGGAGATCCGACAAGGAAATTAATTTGTTTCTTATATACCTTTATTTATTTCATTATTTACGACTACTACTACTACTATCACTAAAAGTACCACTATTAACACTACTACTACTAATAATAATAGGATGTTTTTAAATTTATGTTTTCAAAAGATCCTTAATGAGAAATTGTCGTGAGGCCATTTCTCTCTGAAGATATTCAAAAGCCTATTAAAATACAAGGATCTAGATGTGGAAACACCAAAAATGTGGCATATGATGACATCAATAATTCCAGATTTAACTGGAGCACTCGGTTTAATTGTAAAGCTCACATCTTACGAAAACTTTATGTAAAATATCTGTGATATACTTCTTGTTCTTTTTTACAAAAATGACCCGTGAAAAATGTCATGAAGTAATATCAGATCTTAGGTCTTTGGTTGTGATCCGGAAGGAAATGTGTATACAACAGAAATCAAAGGAAATAATTATGATAATACTGATACTACTATTATCATTACTACTACGACTACGGGCACCCTGAGGCGGTGTCATGGTTAGCAAGCTTGTCTCGCTATTATGAATGAGTATTGAGTTCGATCCTCGTTCGGTGTCCTATACTTTCGGCCTTGTGCCACATCTAAGCTACGCTTCGAAAATCGCTACTGCTAATAATAATAATAATAATTATTATTATTATTACATATACGTAACATGGAATTTATATATATATATATATATATATATATATATATGTGTGTGTGTGTGTGTGTGTGTGTGTGTGTGTGTGTGTGTTAAAAATATATAGAAAATAGGAAAGACCACGTTAGGTAAATAATCTTTAGTATTTTTGTTATTATTTTTTTTAAAAATAGTGCTCGATACAAAAGTAGAGCATAAATATAATTATTTATTTAAAAATACGATCCCAACGCTGAAGATGGAACAGAGCTTAGTACTTTAATTCAATTTAATCCAAATAATTAT